GGCTGGCTGCGGCCGGCGCACCCCGAAACCTGAAATAAAGGCTCCCGAAGCCAGAAATGAGTTTAGAGAGGAGATAGAGCTCTATTCTGCGCGGGGTGCGAGGGGAAAGCGTCCGCAATCCAAGCGCCCCACACCGAGGAACTTCAGAGTGTTTTTATACGCTCCCAGCTACGCGACTGCAGGCTTTCCAGAATGATTATTGGTTGGCTGCTTATCGCTTCTACCCCTCGTTGGTTAGTAACGTACAGAGGGGGGTGAATTTTTCCCCACAAGCTCAAAGGGTGAGGGTCTGTACCCAGACAGGGGTCTTAAGCTGCTTTACAGAGAACAGTTTATCAAGCCGCCCTGTTCCAGGATGCTGCTCTTCTTCAAGGATGGTAGCGCCTGATTAGAAGTTCCTCACTAATTGCTGGTGAAGTTTGAAGCACAGACTGACCTATCCGGCGCGTCCAGTTTATCCTTGGACCTGATGACAAAGCCTTGTATGGACGAGGGTATGTCCTGTGTGGCCTCGGGCGCGATGAGAAGCGTCTGTGGGGTCTGCAGTGTGCGATGAGGAGCAGTTTTGCGGCCTGAGACTCCTGGTGAACAGGGAATCTGTCCCACGGGTAGCAAGCACACAAGTTCAAGCAATTCCAAACGAGGCCTCTTGCTCAGGCTAACACCCCGAAACACCGGGCGGTGCCTGCCCGGAGCGTCCCACGGGTGACCTGGGCACCTCTGCCCCCCTTGTCCCACTCTGGGCGGAGTTCACACGTGTCAGCGGGTTCTGGGGCAGGTGCTCTGAGATCCCCCACAGAAAGCTGCTCTGTGTGAAGAGGAAGCGCTGCCCAGGCTTCAGAACATCCCTCCCCACACGGAGAGCCGGCAGCCTCTGCCCCACGCGTGCGCCTGGCGCAGGGGAGCAGGGGAACAATTGTGCATAAATCGGTAGATGTGGGGCAGAAGCTTCATGCGTGCCGGCTCCCGGCCTCAGAAGGGCACAGCTGAGAGAGGGGGTGTCACGCTGCCAGGCCGGGGGGCCCGAGTCATGTCGCTCAGTCTGTGCTCGGGGGCCACCCAGGTCGGGTCTGCTGGGGAGGGGGCAGCTGGGGCACTCCCAGCCGGGCCGGGCTGGGTGCTGGGTGCACCCGGGTTGGTTTCAGGCCTGCTGCCTCCCCCAGATCCCCCAGCATTTAGCTGGTGTGGAAAAACAGACCCTTCGGGGGACCCCAGAGCAGGTCAGAAACCAGCAGACGCTTCAGACAGTCAAGGCAAAATGCTGCAAGAAGGAGAAGGGCTGGACCCGCCGCTGCTGTGACCGAGCACCCTGTCACAGCACGTTGTGGCAACCGACCAGTTTATTCCCATCGGACAGCTGGACATGCTGGGAGGAGCAAGATCTGGGAGGGAGATAGGTGTCCAATGTGGCACAGTGCCCGGAGGGAACGCCTGTGCCCAGTGAGCTGCTCATGGCCGGGGAGCGGCCTGGTCACAGCCACAGCGGGGAGGGACGCTGCGGTCCCGGCCGCGCTTGGAGCCGCCGGGGTGCCCACGGGCTCTGGCCAGGGACACAGACATGGCCCCGGGGCTGGGGGCACCTGCCACAGGAGTGTGGTGATCCGAGGGCCTGCCCTGAGCTCCCAAGAGCTGGGCACCAGCAGTGTGAGCACTGGTATCTGCGCAAAGCCCGGAGCTTCCCACCGGCCGGGCACCGTGCCGGGTGGGTGACGGTGCCGGGAGCGTGGCCGGGCAGCCGCTGACTGGCGAGACCCACTCCCTGCCAGGCCAGGCTGGCACACCCCTGTCTGCTGGCTCCTGCTCCTGCCCTGGAGAGCCATTTCTGCTTGAAAAAACACCTTAGCGATGCTGTCACCACTGAGCTGGTTCACCCCCTAATAACTCAAATGCATCTTAGATAGAAATCAGACAATAATAGCACAGTCCATGGTACATTCATTTCCCAGTTTCCAGTAAAATATAAAAAGAAAATAAACCAGTACTGGCATTTCAGGGCAATTATTCCGAAGGGTCAAGAGCTACAGACCAACAAAGAGGAGCTGGACAACGTCAAATCTCTTTAATGCGCAGGGATAACATGATGGGGCTGGCAGCCGCCCTGCAGCGAGCCAGGCAGAGATGAAGCAGTTCTAATCAAGTTTCGGGCTCCTCTGACCCTGCCCGCTCCTCAGCCGTTATTATCCTCTGCACACCGTGGATCTTGCGGTGCCGTGACCACGGCCTGGGGAGCTCAGCAAGCGCTGTGGGTCTCTCACAGAGCCCCCACGCCGGCAGCGCCCGGGACACGCGCCTGGCTGCGCTCCGTGCTCCCCTGCCTTTACTTCTCTAGTTACAGATTTGCAGGGTGCCGCCTAAAACAAGTAGAACTGAAGAAATTGGGAGCACAGATTTTTTTTTTTTTTTTCTGTACAAGCTCCGGTAAAAGAGAGCCCAGCGTGAATGCGGGAAGTGGAGGCTCCGCTGCGCTGCTCCCGCGGAGGGAAAGCTGCCGAAGGCAAACATCTGCCCCCAGAGCCGCGCTGCCGTGCCGAGCAGCGGCTTCGTTTCTGGTGGATCTGGGTGAAATCTTTTTCTGGTGTAGTGCGGGCCAGCAGCACCGAGGGCAGGCAGGCCTGAATTACGCTAATGAAGGGGCTGGGCTGATCTCCTCATGCTATTTGAGTCAACAGGCGCGCTGCCAGTGGCTTCAAACAGGGAATGATTTCATCTCTGCCCTGCGTCGTCTTACAGCGGAGCAGCCGTGGAGCCGGCGACTCCTCCCTGCGCTCCCGGGGCGGCGAGGCCTGGCAGGGAGCAGGGGAAGGAGCTGCTTGCTCTCCAGACCCTCCCCCTCTAATTTTAAGGTCTTTCCCTTCTCCGTAATGCCAAGCTTGCACATGTCTGCAAACTGCTCGTTCGGAGGCGACGCAGCCCCGAGCGCGGGTGGGGGCACGGGAGAACCGCGCGGTGACAGCGGTTGCGCAGAGCCCCACGGCCGTGCTGAACCCAGCGCCCACGCTCGCAGCGGCCTGAGCCCTCCCCGGGGCTCTGGTTTCCCCCGGAGCCGCCGCCGAGGCAGCGGACGGTGCCGGAGCAGCTGAGGGCCGTGCTCCCTACCCGAGCCCCCCGCACAGCCAGCGCCGGCGCTGCACAAGCCCAAGTTCAGCGACTCTGTGCCAAGCGATGATGTTATGGCCATGGAAGGGAACCAGTCCAAAACTGTGGGAAAAACATTTTTGAAGAGAAACGTCATCTCTGAAGCCATATAAACGGATCAGACACAACAGAACAAGGAGCTATAAAAGGAGAGTTGGGGAAAAAACACCACTAATGGGCAGTAACTCGCATGGTGCCCGCCAGACTGTATCTTTGTAATTTATATTCCTTGGGGACACCGGCCTGTGATTTCCAAAGCACAGAGGAATATGGAAACGGCCCGGCCAGTTGTGGGGCCACACTCAGCACCCCTCATCTCAGAGGATGCTCTGGAGCTGAGCAAGCAGGTGCTGAGCACGGGGGGCTTTGCCAGAGCGGCAGGTGAGGGCCGGGGCTGGTCCCGGAGGCTCCTCGGGGCTGGGCTGAGCTCCCCGCCGGGGGCTACAGGCAGCAGGACCTTGTTGCAAATGCAGCGGGAGCGGGGGTGAAGCCGTGTCCGAGACGTCTGCTTCGCCCGCACAGTGTTGTCTTTGGGAACAGCAGAGCACAACGGCCGTGGCCAGGCAGTTTTATCAGAAACCAGTTGCTTCTAATCTGGTTAGAAAACTCCAGCCCCTGGGGAAGCACAACAAACCTTTCTGCGGGCCTGGGAGGAGATGTCAGCTTTAGAAGGAATAAATCAGGTTTGTATTAAGGGCTGAAATAATTTCTCTGCTTTGAGAGACTGTTTCAGAGAGCAGAAGAGCAATAACCTCAGAGGAGGTAAAAACCACAGCGGAGGAGCAGGTCCTCCACACACTGAAATGTCACCGTGACCAGGAACATAGTTCCAGCAAGATCAGCTCTTATTAAGTTCCAATTTTTGTTTTATTCTTTCTCAAAAGATCTGTTTCTCCAGCATGCCATCTCCGTCAGCAATAAAACATTACGAGCTGCTGCTCAGTGGGGCACGCTATGACTTTTATGAGCAGAAGCCTTGAGATCCCAGAGAGCCTTTGCAGAAATGTAAGCTGGGTCTGTAGCTTTTCACAATTTCATCAGATCAGCATGAAACAGGGAAGGGCCGGGAAAGCCCCTACTCTTACTCCATCTCAACTCCTTCTGTCAAAAACCCGATTGCCTTGACCACTGCACGTGCAGGGAGGTCAGTTGTAACACGGTCAGCAAAGATGTGGTGCCCGTGTGTACCGGGCAGCAGAGCCCCCGTTCCTCCCCGGTGTCTCCCCTGGGACCAGGACAGAGGTGGCACCCAGCCCCTGCACAGGGCACCTAACGGGCCTTGCACCGGCACGGGTCACACTGGGGTCCCACCCCGGCAGGTTCCTGGACCTGGATGAAAACCCCCACCCGGCAGCCTCGGCCGTTCCTCCGCTGCCTCGGAGCAGGGTGTGCAAGCAGGTGACGCTGAGCGGTGCCATCAAGGCGCCGGCGCCCAGTGCCAGCCCCGTGCCTGGCAGCCCCGGCGTGGTGCGGCAGGCAGGGACGCTGGCACTGCTGCTTCCCCCAGGCCAGCGCCCTGCAGCTCTGCCACGCTGCTGCCGGGGGGGCTCTGCGGGGGGCTGCTGGCTTTGCAACCAGCTGCAGGTGAGGCACCAGCCTCCCCGAGTCACCCTGCGCTCACCCACCCCCAGAGCCTGCCTGCAGGGGGGCACCGGAGCACCCTGAAGGGCTTCGTGCCCGCTGGGGAAGTGCTGGAGCCCATCGGGAGTGGCGCAGCAGCCACAGGCCTGCAGCGGGTTTGCCCCAGGCCCTTTCACACTTCCATTTTTCAAGGGTTTCCAG